CTTGTTCATATCTAATTCTAACAACTACGATACATGTTGCTTTTATACAAATTCAAGATATAATTTCTAGGCTATACAAATTAATATTCATTATATCACTTAAATTCTATTGGTTCAATATTCGTTCACTTGTTCGTTCACTCATTCACTTAGTTATTCATTCATTCGCTTGTTCGCTTGTTCGCTCGCTTGTTTGCTCGCTTGTTTGCTCGCTTGTTCACTTGCTTCATGTGATATAATCTTTATTCAATAATATATGAGATATTTATAATCTAATAATAAAATATTATGACAAAAGGTCATTATACAACAATATTAATATTATATTAATGTTTATAAAAACTAAAAACTCTATTTGTTATATTTTATAACAAAAAAATTGAAAATAATTTATAAATTAGCTTTTTCTTGTCATTTTTGTCATATTTTTAGTTGTTATTTATTTTTACTCTTGTCTATTTGCTAAAATTTTAAATTACTATTATTCTAGTTGTTATCACTTTTTAGTCATACTTTGTTATATTTATTTTTAATTTGTAAATCATAATTTAATTATTTAATTTAATACTTGAACAAATTAACAATAAATACTTCATGATTATATGATGATTTTGATATTAAATATTTGTTATTTGAGCTTGATATATATTAATACATATGATTTAAGAAATTTTAACTACAATAAATAGTATAATTTGAAATCTTTCTATAAAATTATTAGATTACTGATCAAATTTTTAAAAAATTTATTTATAAAAAGTTATAAGTATTTAAAGTTAGATATTTTTTATATAATTAGTCTGAAATTGAAACAAATCATGTGATCTAATTTTATTGGTTAGTATTATTATAATGTCAATTCATCAAATTTTAATATATATCACATGATTAACATCACAAATCACATGACTTTTCCAAAATCAATTTCGATATAATTTTTTTGATTATAGTATTTATTATTTTTAGAAAATTGAAACAAAATCACGTGATTGTTGAGTTAAGATTTCTGACACCATATGTAAAAAGATCCGATATTTTTGACAAATATCACGGGGAAAACGCTCATGCTGGAATTTAAGTGCACTTTACGTGTGTTTGAAACAGAAAAAAAATTTTTGATCTCATTGCCATAGCAAAGGTAAATTTATTACATTTGTCTTTTCACATTTGCAAGATTAAAGAAAATTAAATTATTTATTAATACAGTCGATAAAAATGTCAAAAAAATACAAAGCTTATAGAATTGGTCATAATAATTTGGCTATCGAGCTATTTAAATATTTAATATTCCGTTATTATTTTTAATGTAATATTTTTTTCGGTGATTTAATTAGAATTTGATATTTTTGTTTCAATTTCATTTTTTTTTGTCAATTATTTAATCGTTTTTATATATTATATATAATCAATTGCAAGGCAATTTAAAGCTTTCGCACACACTGATTCTCATAGGGAAGAAACCAGAGCTAACATAGATACCATTTTCGGTAGCTTCAAGAACACAGCGACCGCAAAAATTCCTTTTTCTGCACCAACCACACGCTATCCAAAACCGATCCCAATATTTATATTTTATTCCACAAATCTGACAATGTTTTGTACATTCTTCGCAATTCAAATCATCACAATCTACGAGTTGGAAGACCTCTTGGTCGAGTACCTTCATGTCGTTATCAACTTTTTGTGCCTTATAATTGTGGCGTTTACCACCAACACATCTTGTCACTACGATTCGTTTGAGAGACGCAAGATTTGGCGAATCACCGGATTCATCTTGTTTCCATCTGACAAGGGTTTTGGTAACTTTTCTGAGAGCTATGTTTCTTCCTCCAATGATGAAAATTTGCTGAAGGTTCTCACAGTCTTTTAGAATCGAAATTATGCTTTCGTGCGTAATCGGAGATTGGTTAAATGTGAGTTGATGAACAAATTTGAGTGATTCTTTATATTGCAAATACGCAAATAATGTTTGAAGTTGCTCGTTGGTTGTTGTTTGTGAAAAGTAAATCTTATCGAAAATATTTTTGTCAGGAAATGTACCATACAGGATACGACATGTCAAGCGAAGAGCTAGTAAAGATGGTAAATCTAAAAAATTAGCGATTTCTTGAAAACATCTTCTGGAATGTGGCATAGATTGATTGCAAACGCATTTTCTGTGTTCGCAATTTCGTATTTGAATTTGGTGATGTTATTTTGAGCAGTTTTTTTGGGAATCGGTTGGGAAGTTGATGGCTCTGATGGCTTATTGTTTGGTAACTTGGGATTGTTTGTTTTGAGATTATTGAGAGTAGAGATGGATTGTGATTTAAGTAAAGATTTTATAGTTTTTTGTGTAGAAAAAATATGTTGATACAGTTTGCCTTGAAAAAGCGAAGACAATCCCATTGTTTATTAATAGTACTCGAAAGTTATATATAAAGAAAAGTAAGGGTATTATAAAAAGAGTGTGAAATTGCACTTAATGACAAAGTGATTACTATGAATGATTCGAATCATGGCGAAAATTAATTTGTGTTGGAACGCCATTTAAATAGAAAATTCAAAAGTGATTTCTGAATGACTGGATATTTCGTCAAATAAAGAATTTATGGTTGGACACAATGCATGAATTAAAAAACGCGAGAAATTTCCACTGCTGCAGAAATTTTAGATTTTAAAATTGAAAAACACGAAATTTTTAATTGATTTCTTTTTCGAGCAGCCACGCATGAAAAAATGTGTCATTGTTCGAAAATTTGCACTCATCTCTCTTTAAGCTATCCAGTGTTTTTTTATGTATCATTTTTGTTTGAATAAGGTGTTTGCGAATATGGTTTCTGAACAATATAATATTTTCCGGTTTTAGAATTTTGAGCATTGTATGTTTCGAAGGATAAAAACTTGTTTTTTTCGTACAGATTAGCGTTAAATTCCTTTGAACCAATAAAAAACCTTGTGAATTTTTTTCGGGAAATTTTCATAAACATTACGTATCGGTATTCGTAACATTGTTGATCTTCGGTTCATTTATTCTGGGGTGCACAGTTTCATGCAAAGTCGGAGGATGCTTACGGTCACATACTAATTTGTGATCACTACTAAAAATTAGAAATTTTATTTTTTGAAAGATGCAGCCCAGATTTAAAGTTTAAAACAATGGAATCCATTTTTTTTTCACACGTAATACTTACATCCATATGAGAACGATCTAAAATTGCAAAACAAAGAGAGTTACTCAGTCATCCGATTTTAAATATGAAACCAATTCACTTGAAACTGGCAGACAATCATTTACGCAAAATGATAACGACATAGTTGAAGTAGCAGTGGTGATAGTTAAGTAATTTAGTGTTTTCCAGCATAATTAAACTAAACTGATCGAATAAGTGTGCCAAGACAGCACCATCTTTTTGTGTTTCATATTTTATCGAGGCAAGATTATTGAGCAGTAGTGTTTAGTAGTATTTAGTGCGAGTACAAAAGATAACGTATCTTTAAAGCATGGCGCAATAAACCTGTTAAAACGTGATTCTTTTGGATAAAAGATGATGCCTATAATAACAACAAAATGGGTATTCAACAAAAGGAAAAGTGCTTACTAATCAGTATTAGGTTAAGCACTGTATTCTCAGTGGGAAAGACGTACAAGATAGCGGGCTTAACCAATACATTGATTTTTGTTTGCTTTCGCCGAATAAGATGATTGTAAACAGCAAAATTTTCTGTCTGATATGATGATGACTGCAAAAATAAACTGCACATTCACGTCATTGTTTCATAAGATAAGAGTTAGCAATAGCTGTGCTACTTTGATTTTTTGCGTGCTGGGGTCATATCAAAGACAATCAATATTTGGTTTATCAAATGTACCTCGATCTTGTACCCTCTTTCTTTGAAGAGATCTTTCTCTCAGATCCAAATGTACCTCAATTATGAACCCTCTTTCTTTGAACAGATCTTGCTTTCAGATTCAATTATACGTAAACTGTATAATATAAATTGTAAAAAGGAAGAATACAATCTGATTTTTACATAACAATCTCTTCCCACATAGAGATATGTAACAACGAAGCTGCATCCAAAATTTTGATACCGATATATTATATACCGTATCCTACCAAATTTACGCACCACTTTTTGTGCTGTAAAAAACGGGATGGTGCATATCCCCAGACATTTCCTTTCAATTCGAAATCATTGTTGTTTAGGACGATTGTTTATATATCTTTGTAGCTGTATTTACTCACGGTCTTACTGTCCTTTAATTGAAATTAGGATGGTACTTATTTTCGGTAAGATATACATGTACTGCATAGTGAAATGCCGTTTGAATGCTGGAAAATTATATTTTTGAACACTTAATCGATATAGTTAGTTATTCTTTGTGCCATGTCTAGATAACAAGCATATGGGGTGAATTTAGTAAAAACATCGTAAATAACAAAGCTTAATTTGCAATAATCTGTGTTTTATTTTCAATACTATATACGCAGCAACTCTCTTATAGTGTATCAAAAAAATCTAATAGTAAAAAATTTTCAAAAATCCACTATATCGAGAGTTTTTGAAAATTTATTAGTAAATATACTATATCGAGTGGATTTTATTAGAGGCAGTTTTGGATATTATCCACTATATCGTGAGTTTATTACATGTAGATGTAGTATACACTATAAATGGGGTACACGATAATTAAGATAAAAAAATGATCAGCATGTATGTATTTATTTATTAAATGCAAAACTCATTTTAAAAATTGTTTGATGTTTTTATCCATATAATTTCAAAAAATGGCCAAGTTTCCCTAGAAAGTTTCGATATCGATGTACGTAGGTAAAATTTTTTGAAGTTGTGAGCTTGTCTATGCATCTATCTGAGAAAGGAAGGAAGTTTCCTGTCAATCGGTTATGCCCTAAAACAGACAATTATGTATGAGAATCAGAGATGAACTTGCAGCCGAATTAACAGGTTATATTCTAAACATTTTCCTGCAGTTTTTAAATACGTATACATGTATTAGGAAACATATTCGGGAATTGAACTTGTATTTTGGCAAGAAACGAATATATTTATATCTATATTTATATCTATATACTTTATATTGTTTCAGCGTAGAATTCAAATAAGACGTATTACGCAATATGAGTATAGTTCGGTATTTTTTTTATTAGCATTAATAACTACATTTAGATCTTTATAATCATTTCCTTCTTTACAGGGTTATAACTATCGTCTATTCAATTGCATGCATAAAGATGCCTCAATTGGTTTTATAGACGACTAAGAACAGGGTTTTTTCTTTAAAATGCTAAGTTCGAAAGTTAGGCTGAAATCAGATAATGAAATTTGAAGCATTTCATTTCCTTATTTACTCTTATTTTTTATATATCCGGTAAGATAATTTCCGTCAATAAGGAGTTTTTATATCTATGGAGTTGTTCAAACGCCGCCTCATTAAAAGTCTTATGTCAATACCTTTGTTATAAGCCTACCATTTTCATATGCTCCTCAGAAACCGTGAGAAAGTTGTTATAAAAGAATATCCTGTCTATTCTGTTGTATTACTATATAATTTGATTAGACTGTGCTAAACGAACGAATAGCCAGGTTGCGCTTATTTTGCTTCAAGGCTCATATAGGAAGCAAAGGGTGCCAAAATTTATTGAAATGTGATTGGAAAAATTTGGCGAACTCATCCAATAAAAAATTCTTGCCTTCAATAGATAAGTCTCTATGTTGTCAAATAAATAAATAATATAATCGTGTAAATTGTAAATGTACAAGCATACATCATTTAATCTGGTGGAATCTTTTAGATAGCTGCATACACATTTATGCTTGAGACCGATTAGGCTGTTCTCTGTTATGGTTTTTGTATAGTATTTTAGATTTTATTACGTAGTATATCAGTTACATATTGCTAATACAGTTTTGCACTCGGGTTTAGACTACCGAATAATAAGTTCGGACAAATTACGTAAGCCAAAAATATCAAATTTTAATCAGATTAAAATTTCCGCATCTATTTGAAGATCTTCAGCATACGAGAATAAAGATACTTATAATGCAAATGTGCATTTATATATCGAAGCGTTGCATTGTCTTAAAGAAAGTAACTAATTGCTGTGTAATTAAAAAAAATTGTGAATTTAAACCTTTTAAGTTTAGCTTTTTCCGATATAAATATAGAGTTACAATGTCTTAGCGTCGGTAGACATTGCTAGAATTCATGATAATTCGGGAAACTGCCACAATGACAGCAACCTTAATTCTTGCTTGGTCGGTGCTCCTATGATTTATTTGTGCATACTATCAGAAATTTATTTAAACAGAAAAGGAAGGCAATATATGCGATTATATGCAATTGAATGTTCTGAGATTACACAAGCGTGAATTCTGCCTGTAAAAATGGTTGTTAAGCATCAGCAGGTATAGAGAGTACAATTCTTTATTATTCATAAATGAACATTTGCCAAGTGAGGTTGTATAAACAAATCGTTTACGGTTATTATTGTGCGTCTGAATAAAGAAATAAAGTGAAAAAAAGCATCGACATATTCCCTTGTTTAAAATATTGTAACTATCTTTATACGTGTATTGATAACGAACTTCGTGTGATTTTTCTGCGGCAGTGTGATTTTTCGGAGGAAACGAAATGTTTAACCGACAGATTATATCGATATAGAATTTATACAAGTGTTTTGCTATTTGACGACAGTGATTAACTATGACAATGGGCTCGCGTTAACATAACAAGCATAATAAACACACGTTGTGATCAATCATCAACCTAGGCAAATTATGATGACCTAATCAACATTAACATATTGGTATGTCAAAATTTTTTCCTTTATTTCTTTATATGGTTCGTCACATTGTACTGCATATGTACGTACGTATATGCTTTCAAATAAACGTAAGTACGTAATCAAGCAAGCAAACATTTTCACTTTATTTGCAATCCCAAAATAGTTTTCATTTGTTAAAAAAGTTTTGATTTATGAAACCACAAAGCTACGTATAATTTTGATAGTGAAAGATTTTGAGTAATTTTCTATTATCGGAGGTGAAACGTTGAACCTTGAAAGATGGTCGAATGATGAGAGGACCGGATAGATTGCACATTTTGAGCATATTTGATAACTTGTTCCGATGGACCACGACTATTTAGTACGACAAATCTTCGCCGAGCGATCTTCGACCTCGTGGAATAATTCCACTTGTCAACAATGCATAAAACGGTGGTGCTGTGCGTTACAAGTATGGTATTTATTTAGAATATCCTGTCTTTGGTGCAAGAAACGCCATAATCTATTTACGATTGAGTGTATGCTCGTTATTTTACAGCAATCGATATGCATCAATGGCTTTCTTACCCTATATTTGAGAAAATTCAAAATAGTAAACCATCATTTTATACTACTTGTAAATAGCAAGTTACTTTAGATAGTTTGTCGAAAAATAAATCCTTTGTGTTTAATTTTATAATTTTATTTAACCTCAATTAAATTTCAAATATAATGCGGTACAATTAATATCTTTGTTATTGATATCACTATACTATCCGTTAAAACATGTGCGTCAATGATTATCGTTATTATTATATAGCAAATAAATGAATTTGTATTGTTTGTTTGTTTGTTTGTTTGTTTGAAACGTTGTTCTTATGAGAAAGAATTGGGAAGATGCTTGTTAAATAAAATATTACAACAGACATTTTTTTTCGAAAACTTTAATTCGTTACGAAACTTGTATGGTCAATGCAACGAACGACGTTTTCGCTTTTCTTTTTTCAAATTTTTCCTACTGCCGAAAAAAATCCTTAAAAATATGCGCCCCTTTAGCAAGGCGTATCGTTTTCTCTCTTTCTGTCAAAAGTTGATCTATTTGTCACCAAATCAGGTAAGGTAAATGCTAATAATCCCACACATCATTATCCCACACATCATTTATAAAAAAATTACCATTGTTCATGTAAGCTCATAAATGTACGAGGCACTCGGACCTGTATTGTTGTTATCATGTTATCAAAGTGATAGATAATCTGCTTGATTAACAGACACTTTTTGAGTATGTGTGCCCCTCATATTGGGTTTGCGTTTGAAGCAGGGGTACGTATTCGATATTTGATTGCCTTTATGCTTAATTGTGAAGCCTGTATATCTGTACATCATTATATGTATTGATGGTTTAAAGGCATTCTCGATCGCATTCATTATTGGATACCTCAATGAAAATTTGCAGGAAATAACCCGTTTTTGCGATTTCGTCAAATGCAAACTTTTCATTTTTTTTTTGTTTCGTTATACTTGCTGATAAATAACAAATAAAAAATTATGCAATTTTAATAATCGGCAAAATAAAATTCGAGTCTTTTAAGCTGCTGTTTATATGCGGTACATGTATTGTAACATAAATGAAAATCCATATGTATCTACGTACGCAAATTTTTCTATGATGTGTGTGACTATATATAACGATAATTGTTGATAAAGCCGAGAACAAAAGGAGTAGTAAAATCCTGGCCACTTTAAATTTTATAAAAGGAAATCCGATAATGAACAAACGCCAGGTGCAAGGTGATTCATTTCATATCGATATACATGTATAACCTCGAAAGATATACGTACCGTTTATGTGTGACGAAAAATCTAGTTTTAATCTTTATTCCTCCCTGCATTTCTGTGAACAATGTGAATATGAATAAAAAGCTGAATTGTGACGTAATAAGCTGCGAAGGAACGTGAAATGTTATCGTTGTATTTTCCGTTATCGTTATTTTTGATAATTAAACTTGTGTAATAAATACTCCACTGTTTGTATCGGCATACAAATATCCTTTTATAGTTTACATCATACAATGAATTTATTAGCAGTTGGCTTGTGCGATAAGGAGAGCGACATCATTATCATTATTATCGCTATTATTAACTATGTATAGAATTGCTTTGATACGTATATGAAAAATACAGTGATGTATTTTTACTTCGTCGTTCAAAAATCATGGTTTCATCAGTAATTTCTTTCTTATATAAACGGCTCCACTAAAGCGTTTCTTTTCTATATAAGCGGTTCTACCAAAGCATTTCGCTACATTATTACTAATTAATTCTTTTCCGACAAACTCGTTTTACAGACTAGATCATTATTTATTCGTTATCATTAGATTTCTTTTACTCTCTTTTTTCACCTCTACCAATCGTTATACCTCATTTATTGACACGTAAATTATGCCTTTTCTTCCTTTCTTTAGAGTATCTAAGGCCAAGATGGTGGAAAACACTGTCATTTCAACTCATGACTTATCTATAGCATCACCTTTCGAACAAATCCAACCATATGCTCTTAATATAAGTCAATTTTCTCATCTCCCCGGTGATGTTCTACTCAATATTGCCGAATTTCTCGATTTACGTTCTCTTATCACCTTGAGAACTGTTTCTCGGCTTCTTTATTTGACACTTCCTAACAAGACCGTTTTCAATAAGATTTATTTAACTAATAACGTGTCCCCAATTCAATTTGATAAACTTTTGATTTTTCTTGAATCAATAAAGGCAACGCAATTTATACGCCAAGTAACGTTTTATGAAATGACCATTACGCATGAATCACTAATTTCGGTATTAACGCGTTGCGAGAACCTACGCCACATTTCTGTCTACGGTGGCAAAAATGTGAAGCTTCGTAAGATCACTAAAAGTTTGGTCAAGTGGCAACAAGAGAATTCCAATGATTCGCCAAAACTTGAGCATTTCAAGTCTCTTGTTTTGACACGATGTGTTGGAGGTCCTCGACGTAACTATCCAGCTCAAAAAGTAAATCAAGATCTTCAGATTCTTAAAAAGCACATTATCAAGCTTGCTGAATGCGATGATCTTTCTTGTGAGCTATGTACCAAGCGGTGTGATCATTGCGGTATCCAGTATCAATTCTGGGACTATTACTGGATAACATGTAGCTGGTGTAAAAAACGCAATTTTTGCGGGGTGTGTGTCTATAATGTATCTCAAAATAATGTAAATGCCAGAAATGGTTATTTTAGAATGTCCATGTGTCAGATGTTTGGCATGCCTTGCTTTTGAAACCAAAAAAGTTTATCATTCAAGATTAATTTGAAAATTTGAGAATATAAATTTATTACTGGATCGAATTTAAGATTGTAATTTTTTTTTTAAAAAAAAACACGCCAAATATGTATTAGAAATTGCGCAATTATCTGAATTTTTGTTAATGGAATAAATGATTAAAATTTTCGTGCGAAAATTGCTAAACGAGAATCTACATGTCATTTTGGGAATTATTACCGTTACCAGGAAAAAGGATTGCCACAGTGTGAAATGCACGGAGTGCATGCTTACAACCGTCGATAAACTATCAAAACCAATGATCAAAATGCTTCTTTCCCTAAAGAGAGATGCTCCTATATTTTGACAATAAAGATCGAAAAATAACGATTGTGAATCATTTGAACATGCGTAACTGTAATTGTTATTTTATGTAGCATTGTGCAATATTTATTGTCCTATTGTTACACTTATTACATGTATTACAGAACGAAAATTATGTTCTATGTTCAACGTAAATAAATGGTAACAAGCTTTGAAAGTTACTTATCGCTTGCCGCTCAACCTAAAAATATCCCGCGCCTGAATACAGTTTGTGCGTGTTTCATTCTGATCAAAGTTTAGAATTCTGGGAGCTCTTTAATTTTAATGTGAAAGTGATGATTGTTTTAAGATCTTCTATCCGCAGAAAGTTTTAGAAACTTTCAACTTTTGGAAGTTTTTGAATCAAAAAACATCGAGTTCTCATAAAATTCTGTCGAGATTAATCTGTTAGAGGGAAATTTTTCTATAATTTTGTTCTAGTTTGGTAACGAAATCTTATTTCATTTATTCACCTTTGACAGGATTGTTAATAAATTGGCAATCTCTAGTTTTTCGTTTGTTGATATTGGTTTCTCAAAACTGTTGGCCTACAAATTCTCTTCCTAATCTATTGCAGTGTGGCCAAACCTAAACTAATTAATAAAATCATGTTTTATTAGACTGAAATAAAAAATATTTCGTACGAAATTAAATGCAACTTCAGATGGCAATTTCTCAACGTCCAGTGGTTGGATTCGAGAGATTTTTACACCATGTTGAGACGAAACAAATTGTTGTTCCATAGGAAACGGAATAAGCCACCTGCCAATTCGTGCTGACCTATGCTATATTTCTTATTTATCTGCTGCTGGTACGCAAGAATCTGCCTTCTCTATCACCAAAAACTATAAAAATTTGGACCCGGCGGTCTTGAAAGACTTTTTTTTCCAAGTCTCATCCCAATTCTGCAACAATTTCTTAATGAATCATGCTCATATTTATTTCTATGAATGATATAATATTTATCTTCATAAAATATTCAAATTTCAATCATTCATCTAAAGTCTTTTGAAAAATTCCATGATAATTTTATGGCGCAGTATGCAAAATGCATTTTGTATGATTTTTATATGGATCAAATATCAATTTTATATTTTTTAAGTGAATCATGGGAAAAAGAGCCAAGTTAATGATATCACAAGCCAAACATGTTTTTGTTGTGCTAGAAGAGACGTGGAGTATATTTTTAGAAAGGTGATTTTTAGATACATAACCCATCACTATATGCTAATTTGCATTCAAATCTGTATTGATGTATACTGAATACTAATACTTTAGGAGTATAAAATCCTGTTTATATGGTGCATACCATCTAAAGTCAAATGTTTGTATTTTATAAAACGGATAAACTTCTTTACTAAGAAGTAAATACAAAATTTAATCAGTAAATATGATGGAATAGACCCTTTCTGAGCATATTTATGGATTAGATTTTGTATTTATACATTTTATAAAATACAAACATTTGATAACTTTAAATGGCATGCACCATTGGGGTGCTACTATGTAAATCAAAACTATGTATGGTATATATGACAATCAATTAATTAATATCGATATATACCGATACATGTAGTAAATTTTTACAGAATTTTGATCGACTTCAATACTTCATATTAACTAACTATAAAAAACGAGGACCCGATTTTTAGATGTGAGGACTAAACAAAATTTCCTTTTTAGATTATTTAAATAACATTTAATTTTCACGCGTTATAATTACAAAGTTACGAAATTTTTATTTAAATATCATTTAATTTTCACGCGTTATAATTACAAAGAAATCTCCAAGTTAATAGTAAATTTTTTTTAGTTAATATGTAAAATTTACTTCGTAAACTTGTTCGTTTTGGACTTAATATTAATATGTTTAAATTTAACTTCAAAATATTTAGTCGTAAAGATTACACATCTAATTAATCAATCATGGGTATTTACACATCATATAAACGCCGATTTCAATTAATATCAAAAGAATCCTGAAATGACCTCCACCAATAATGAAAACCAACAACGAGCTGACTTAATTTCAACAATACAACAATTACCTGAAAATGAAGCAACCAGTCTTATATCAAAGTTACGATATCCAAAAGGTCCAAATAAAGGAAATATAATTTCACCATACTTGCAAAAAAAAAGCACATAATTATATTTCTCAAAGGCTTTACAAACATCAATCCACTTTACAAGATTCAAATTCAAAATTAAAACAAGAAAATAAAAGACTTCATCAGAAAATCAAGCACTTGTTAAACAAACCCAATCACTTGGAGCAAAAGTTCAACACTCTGAATCAAAAATCAAAGCACATTGCTGAAATTCGTTCTTTAATTCGACGTTTAAAGTAAATTACTAATGAAGAATTTCGTGAAAAGATTAAATCTATTTTTAAACCTGATAAAAAATCTTATTCTTCAAATACAATCTGGCTTGCTACAAGTGGAACAAACATCATTATGCTCTGTTGTTGAATGTATGTGATTAGTTTATGAATTTCTAATGGGAGAACCACCTTGACTACGTTTCCTTTAGAGAGAGAGCAATCTTGAGCTTGTTCACGGTTTTGAAAAGCTTTTACATTTTAGAATAAATACGTACTGTTCTACAATGGTTTCTAGATGTTTTCTATGAGAGAATACGTTAATTGGTCATAATCATTAATATTCTTCTCTTGAACATATTTCGTGATCTTTTAGAATTAGGGTTAGGGTTAGGGTTAGCATAATATAATGAATAAGGTAAATTTTTACAAAGATTTTTTGTTGACAATGTCACGAAATGGCTTAGATTGTCTTTTTTGGCTTCTTGTAATGTGCATCTTTTCTTGCTTGTTATGAGCTTGTGACTAGGGATAGATTCTCTAGAATCGATTAATTTAGAATCGATTAATTTTGTAGAATCGTTTAATATTTGAGAATCGATTAAAATTTAAGATTAAAATTTGAAAATCGATTAATAATGCATAAATCGTGTAAATACGTAAATGTTCAGTTACATATATCGATATCTAGAAGTACGTAACTGACATCTCAATACTTCAACTAATCAACGAAATGAAAAACAAAACCAAAAACCAGTTATATCATCGCCGTCACCGTCGTTATTGCTGTCGTCGTCGCGTCACATCATCGTTGTACGTACTGTGCTCGAGAATCGAGTTTGGGTTGAAAATCGATTCCTATCCCTATATATATCAAATTCTTTCACAACTTGCACGCAAATATTTGCCAATTCCTACCATATCGATCTCCATCTGAATGTCTATTTTTAGATGTGGGAAACTTGATTAAACGAAATTGATTATCTACTTGAGAATCGATTAATCGAAATTATTAATCAATTTTAGAATCGATTCCTATCCCTACTTGTGACCTTCCAGACCCTGGTAAATTTCTTTTTTCCTATTTCTCTTGTATTCGGCAAAAGACCATTATCTATCATCGAGTCACGGCTCATTTTTCTTGCAACTTGCACAGCACTCAAAATCTCCCCAATAAAAATTACCATTTTACCCTCGTCAAAGCCGGTCAACTGGAGGCGGTGTGTGTTATATTTACAGCCGACAAATTTCGTCCAGTGTATGTTTAAAAGTCGAAGAAAAAAAACTTGCTGTCAACAACGAAAAGGGGAAAACGCCACGTTTAAATTTATGTTGCACATCGTTATCGATCGTTACCGTCATTGGTTCAATACACGTATGTATTTTACCATTACCGCTTATCGTTATCGCTAACAAAGTACATGTACATGTACCAATGATTAACAAGCAAAGTTATCGACCAATTGTCAAACTTATTGATAATCAAATACAAATACGTGGTATTGTGCAAGTGCTACTACTACTTTAAATTGCCATAACGATAATCATTCTGTCAAAGAGAAGAAAGAAAATAACGATCATGTCAAATTACGGACTTACGATTAAAGTCGTCAATGCTATTTTGTTTTTGGCTTTGTTTGGAGATTACCTGTATTCGGTTTTTAAGTTTGGAAAGGTAAAAAAATATAATAATATTATATTGAAAGAAAGAGAATAATATTTATGTTATCTCGCTAAATATAGCTTCCGCATCACGGCGACCCAACACTTGGAAATCATCCAACAATAATCACTCCTGCTCCGTACTCTTTTTATATTTGGTATCTAATCAATTTTCTCTTTTTCGGTTTTATCATCTACCAATTTTTCCCCGATGCAAACGACGTAGTTGTCAATGGGATCAAATGGCACTTTCTCGCCTTCGCCATTCTAAATCTACTCTCAGTGCAATTTTGGCTCAAAGATGATCTCATAATTTCCTGGCTCGTTACTGCGGTGCTTCTCTCGCAAATCTCATTCGTCTATTACCGTATACGAAACGAATTTCCTGCGAACACATTATTGGATAAAATTTTTGTTCATGCTCCATTGACAATGTATCACGCATGGACTGTGGTGATTTTGGTGATTACTTCTTTCGCTGCATTTATCCCAGAAGACGACGAAAAGCAACCAGATGAGGAAGAAAGACAAATTAGTTTGGTACATTATCTCTGGGTATTTGTGGCATTTGTCGTGCTGGAGGGTAATATGTGGGCATATAATATATTCGGAGATGGAGATGCGTTGGGTGGTCTTGCTATAGCGTGGGCATTTTTTGGCATTTCACAGGGGCAACATGAGACTGAATTGATCCATGTCTCGGCTAGAGTGCTGGCCATTTTTACGATTGCATATTCCGCTAATCCTTTAATTAAAAAGTTCACAGGGAGCGGATATAGAAGCACCGGTGGTGAAAATGCTCCTTTGTTAAGTTAGTTTAGGTGAAAAATCGATTTAATTTTTGTTGATTTATATAACTCTTAGTTGTCCAATTTGAGTATGTCATTTCCCGTATTCTCGTATAAATACGTATCGTTATTTATTTTTACCCCCAATAAATGAGCTTTTGGGTATAAAAATTGAAATACTGAATAATCTTTATATCAACATCAATACTATCGTTATACATGTTATACCCTTCACATGTGATTATTCTTGATACGTACAATACATAATCCTTTATTTTGTCCATTATTATTATTCCAAGTCTACTACTCTTTTCGAGTTATCAATGAGATCAACCACTTGAAAATGTGATGCATTTTGAGATCTCTGTTGTTGAATCACAAAAGTGAAACCTGCTTCACGCAAGAGTATAATAAGATTATTCACATAATAAATAAATGGTAGTACTTGGACTATGCGATTTCCAGGTTGATTGAGGACATGTATGAGATGATTGTCGATTATTCCACGAGTTATTGGAATTCCTGGTGACGATGATGTAATAAGAGAAGAAGAGGAAGAAATAAAAGGGTCATTTTCTTGTTCTGATTGCATGTTTAAAAAAGTTTTCTTTTTTGTTATGATAAATAAAAAAGATATACTGTATTCAAACTTGCAAATTTGCTATTATAAATATCTGAAATCAAGAATCTCATCATGATCAATATTACATGTATAACGACAATGTCAAATCGATTGATGCAAGGATTTTTTTATATTACAAGTGCCTCCTGTCATGGTGACACGCAAAAAATGTCTATTATGGTGGTGCATACCATCTAAAGTCATCAAACGTTTGTATTTTATAAAATGGATAAACTTCTTTACTAATAAATACAAAATTTAATCCGTAAATATGATAGAATACGTATACCGTTTCTGAGCATATTTACGGATTAAATTTTGTATTTACTTTTGAGTAAAGAAGTTTATGCATTTATAAAATACAAACGTTTGATGACTTTAGATGGTATGCACCATATAAATTCTATTAAAATGTGATTTTTAAGGCGTCACTATAATGGGATGGCACTTGTATTTTGATTTGACATTTTTCTTGGCATATTAAATTGTCGTAATTTTACATATACATGAACTTTAATAGATGCCTATTGGCGTTATATCGAATATTAAATCGCAACTTTGATATAACGATTGGATTTACGCAATTAATCAATAGCGATAATATCGATATTTAACCAAAAAAAATTGCGTGTGCACTTTAAAAGAATTTAAAGAAAAATGCTTGTTCGCCGCAAGTACGTATGATCTGTGGAAATTCTATGCATTATTATTATTATTATTATTATTACAAATACAAACCAATTGTATTCGAATTTCTACCACAAACACGTTTTTTTGATCATTTCTAAGGAATCCACCAGGGTGACCCCCAAGAGTTCGGGCCACGTGATAATTTTTTGATGATGTCAGCGATGATGACCAATTAA